TATATATATATATATATTTGTATTTATATTTTATATAAATATAGATTTTTGTATTAATTGTGTATTATATAAATTTGCATAATTTTCTTTCTTTTTCATTTGTTTTATTTTATCTACTTATTTATTTATTTTCTTTATTCATATATTTACCTATTTATTTATTTTCTTTATTTATCTATTGATCTATTCACTTAATTAATTAATTTATTTATTTATTTACTTATTTATTTATTTATTTATTTATTTATCTATTCACTTACTTTATTTATTTATTTATTTATTTATTTATTTATTTATTTATTTATCTAATCACTTAATTAATTAATTAATTAATTTATTTATTTATTTATTTATCTATCTATCTATATATTTATTTATCTATCTATTTATTTATTTATCTATCTTTATATTTATTTATTTATTTATTTATTTATTTATTTGTGTGTGTGTTTAGATACTAGCATCTGAGTTATCTGTGGGTTACGAGCATCCCCCATGTATAGTAAGGAGAGTGAATGGGTATAGAGTAAGAAACCTAAGAGAAATGTTTATATATATAAATAAAATAAAAAATAAATATATAGAAATAGAAATACAAACAAATGCTGTTGATTCTCTTTTTGTTGTTATTGATAAATATAAAACAGATAAAATACAACATAAAATATTAACAGAACATAATATTAAATATTATGCTTCGGATGATCTATACCACCTCCTACCGAAACCCTAAACCCTAAACCCTAAACCCTCAGAAACAACAACAACAAAAAAAAAAATAATAATAATAATAACGACGGCGATTAAAGAAAAAAACAACAAAGGAAATCAGTAATGTCATCAATTTATTTATCGTATATATATATATATATATATATATATATATATATATATATATATATATATATATATATATATATATGGGGGTAATCTAAACAACGATGTGCATGCATGCAAGTTGGTGTGTACATACACCACCGACCCGGAGGCCCCCACAAATGCATAGAAAACAAATATTTTAATATACACCTTCAGCAGCAGCAGCAGATACCTCTGCTCTACTTTGCTGCTGCAGCTAGCTGCTGTAGCTAGCTGCTGTAGCTAGCTGCTGTAGCTAGCTGGTGTAGCTAGCTGCCGTAGCTAGCTGCTGCAGCTTGCTGCTGTAGCTTGGAACTGCAGATATCTCTGCTGCATATATATCTGCAGCAGAAAGCTGCAGCAACAAACGGCTAGCTAGCTAGCTAGCTAGCTAGCTAGGGAGTCCACAGCTAGCTAGCTAGCTAGCTAGCTAGCTAGCTAGCTAGCATGATGCTGGGTGGTGAAATGCTAACAATCGTTTTTAAAGCTTTCGATTGTCTGACGGCTGAACATCTGCAAAAATAAATAAAATAAATTGGCCCTCTATACACCTCAGGGTGTACATACACCCCAGGGTGTAGATACACCGCAGGGTGTACGTACACCCCAGCGTGTATGTTAGCTGTACGTACACCGCAGTAGTTGTTGTGCCTATCACCTTAATTTAGACTAGCGACATGCGGTGTGTATCGATCAAAAACAGAAATCCACTGAAGGGCCAAAGTCACAACCAGAAAAACCAGCCATGCCACCCAACGCCTCGGGCTTATAAACACCTTCACTAGCTAGCTAGCTAGCTAGCTAGCTAGCTAGCTAGTTAAATAGCTGACTACCTGACTAGCTAGCTAGCTAGCTAGCTAGTCAGGTAGTCAGTTAGCCAGTCAGCTAGTCATCTAGCTAGCTAGCTAGCTAGTCAGCTAGCTAGCTAGTTAGGCAGTCAGCTAGCTAGCTAGTCAGCTAGCTAGCTAGTCAGCTAGCTAGCTAGTCAGCTAGCTAGCTAGCCAGCTAGCTAGCGAGTCAGCTAGCTAGCTACTGAAGTAGTAAGCTAGCTAGCTAGCCAGCTAGCAAGTTACGTATGTGGCTAGCTGAGGGTTGCGGCTAGTCTCCGTCGCTGCTGCTGCCGCTGCTGCTGTCGCTGCTGCCTTCTTCTTCTTCTTGCTGCCGTTGCTGCTGTCTCCGCCTGGCCGTTCCCAGCATAAGTCCATGGAACTGAGACACGCCAGGCGCTTGTGCTGCTGCTGCTGCTGCTGCTTCTGCTGCTGCTGCTGCAGCTGCTGCTGCTGCTGCTGCTGTTGGTCGGGACTCTGCTGCTGCTCCTGCAGCCTGCGGAGACACAACAAACAAAAGAATACAGAAAACGCATGCAAACAACCAGGTGTACGCATGCATGCATGCATGCATGCAGCAGCAGCAAATGTTTGAATACAAAGCCCCAATTCTGCTTCTGTCCTGTGTTGTCTACATCTTTGTTCTGTTGCTGCTGCTGCTCCTGCTGCTATTGCTGCTGCGGCTGCTGCTGCAGCTATTGCCATGGGAAGGATTTGCTGCAGCAACAGTACCGACAGCAGCAGCAGCAGCAGCAGCAGCAGCAGCAACAACAGCAGCAGCAGCAGCAGCACGAACCTGGGTGTCTGCTCTGAGTGTCTCATCTCTTCCTGCTGCAGCATGTTTGTCTCTTTTGTCTGTTTCTTGCATCGACTCTCCGCGAGCAGCAGCAGCAGCAGCAACAGCAGCAGCAGTTGTATGTCTCTGTGGCTGATGCATCTGCTGCTTTGCTGCTGCTGCNCAGCAGCAGCAACAGCAGCAGCAGTTGTATGTCTCTGTGGCTGATGCATCTGCTGCTTTGCTGCTGCTGCCCCCGCCCTCCCAGCAGCAGCAGCAGCAGCAGCAGCAGCAGCAGCAGCAGCAGCAGCAGCTCCTTTGAGTCTAAGACATATCTGGGTGATGCGTGAGGGTTGTTTGTTGTTTTTTCTGCACTGTACGCGGATGGTTTTGGGGAAGGGGCCAGGAACAAGTACAGGGCGATGAAAAGGAGA